AAGTATCCCACACTGAAACTGAAGCACCCAGTGGGGCAGAGGGAAGACAAGTCTGTGGGCAGCTGAAGTCTCCTAAGGAGACTTGATCAAGCCAGAGAAGAGGTCGTCTGAGGCAGAGAGCACCACCATGTGCAGAGACTCCAGGACGAATGCCAGTTGAGTTGGGAGCAGTACAGGGACCAACCAGGCTTAGGAGAGAGATACCTGCACATGCCCTTTGGATCTCTGCTTGCCTCCCTGGTCTGAGTACCCCTTCACATACCCACTAAAGTGAGGGGTCCTAGTTGAGGAAAGCAGAGGCATCAGGAAATCTAAATTCTTAGCTCCATTCCCTGGCTTAACCAAGGGACAGCCATCCACAGCCCCACCCTGGAGAGCACACTGCTGGGACTCTGCTGACACACTGTGGGCACAAGGAGGAACTGCACCAGGGCATGACACCCAGGCCATATACCGACTTCCCAATGGCGCCACCCATCCTGGTCTGGAGCCCCTAACTTCCTTCCAGTGGAATGCCTTGTTTTATTGACTGTCCTCAGTAAATCAGCCCATGGGATCCTAGATCTTACTCCAGCCAGGCCAAGGGAGCTCCATAGACTCTGCTGTTTCTCCATGGTTCAACTAGGCCTTGATCTAGCTGGCTGTGAAGGACCCTCCTCTACTCAGAGTCCTCCATGAAAAGCTACTTACAAAATCCTCAAAGTGGGCTGGAGTGATAGCACAGTGGGTAGAGCGTTTGCCTTGCACGCGGCCTGTCCCGGGTTCAATCCCCAGCTTCCCATATGGTTCCCTGAGCATGGCCAGAAGTAATTCCTGAGTGCATGAACCAGGAGTAACCCCTGTGCATCGCAGGGTGTGATCCAAACAGAAAAAAAAAATCCCCAAAGTTTTCAAATTTTAAGAATGTTATGGGAGCTGATGTGATAATAAAAAGAGATATGTCTGGCATGCGTCTGACTTCACATATGGTCCCCTGTAAGTAGCCACGTACTTCTGGGTATATGGCCCCCAAAAAAATACGAAAAGAATTTTTTCCAGCCAGTAGTCAAACATCATTATTAAATAGTTATGTACAAGGCCAGAGAGCACAGTGGGTCGGAACACACTTTGCATGCAGGGGGCCTGGATTTAATCCCTATCTACCCCCAAGCACTACCAGGAATGACTCAAGCACATGTTGTATAGTCCCTGAGCACCACTGGGTGAGGGCCAAACCCCCCCCCCCCCACACACACACACCAAATACAAACAAACTTAAAGACAACATATTTAGGCACTACCTGTTTTACTACAAAGATATTTTTATTAGGGCAGGGAGAAAGTGTAGGGATTAAGGTATGCCTTGCCCATAGCCAACCCTGGTTTGATCCCTGGTACTGCATATGGTCTACCAAGCACCATCAGCAGTAAGCCCTGAGGACTGCTGGTGTCACCCAAAAACCAAATCACACAATATGTATACTGCCAAGGCTCTCTACTATATGGTGGAAATACTGTATATAATGGCGTGTTCACATTACATGTAACACACCATTACATACAGCTCAAATCAGTCTTAGTTATTTATAGTTTATTTCCTAGATCAGCGCTATCCAACAATGTAATTTTAAATTCTTGAGTAGCAAAATTTTAAAGTAGTAACATTTAACAGGTTAAATAGCCTATTTTATTTAACCTAGTATGTCCAAACTATTGTTACCTCCTTTTTTTACACTAACTTCAAATTCAGGTGTGTAGTTTACAGTTAAAGAACAAAGCACATCTAAGTTCACCTTAGCCACGTTTCAAATCTCAACAGCCAGACTGTCCAGTAGCTACCATATTGAACAACATGGGTCTAGATTTAAGAAATCTAGGAAAGGCTTGCTCTTCAAGCCCATGTTTTCCCTTGAAATGTATCTTGCTTGCCTTTGTCAGTTTCTTTGCTTATGTCCACTCTGGAGAAGCCGATGTTCTCTCTGGTATATGTACTTCTCCCTCTTTCCCCTCACATCTTTCTAAATAACTTTCAATAAAAACTTGCTACATCAAAAAATGAAAGATAATTGTAATAAATATAATATGAAAATTAAAAATGTATTTATAACAGGAAAAGAGAAATCTAGGAGAAAATATTAATGATACATATTAAAGTGCTGAGGCTGAGAAATTTTGATCCAATTAGCATAATGTCTTCAAAGGTGAGAAAAGCAGTAGGTCATGTATCCAACAAATTTATTGAAAAATTTACTGGAAAGGAGCAATGGGTAAGCTAAATAGTAGCTCCAGAAATATATATTAGGTCTTAACCTTTAGGATGTGTGGTGGTTTTAAAAAAAAAAAAAATTGTAAGAAATTTGTTTTGTTTTGGTTTTTATTTTGGGCCTGCACCCAATGGTGCTCAGGGATCACTCCTGGTAGAGCTTGGGAAGCCATGTGGAGTGCCAGGGATCAAACCTCTCCAAGTGCCTTACCAACTGTACTATTCCTCCGGCCCCACATTTCTGTTTTTAAGTCACCAACTTTGTGACAACTGATTACAGCAGTTCTCAGGGCTTCTGAGTCTGCACTCAGGAATCACTTCTGGAGGGGCTTGGGGGACCATATGGGGTCCCAAGGATTTAACATGGGTCACAAGTCACCCACATGCAAGGCAAGAACCCTTGCCCGTTGTACTATCTCTCCAGCACTATTGCCTCGCTTCTTAAATTAGGGAGGGGGGTGTCATAAAATCTTAAAAGTTGGTTTTACAAGGACCAGAGAGATAATAAGCAGCTAAGAGTACTTGCCTTGCATGCCAGCCACCTGATCCCTGTGTGCAAAGCCAGAAGTAAGCCTTGAGCACTACTGAGTATGGCCCCCAAACAAAAATGATTGGATTTGAAATAAATTATCTTTATAGTATCAGTAAATGTAACATTTATACCACTTTTTAAACCTGTATATACACATTTATCAGACAAAAAGAGGTCATGAGGGCAGAAGAGAATCCAGAAGGCTGTGTGAATGTTTTGTATGCTGAAGACCCAGGTTCAGATACCAACACTGCATTGGCACATGGTGTACAGAATTGAAAGTAACCCCAAGCACAGAGTTGGAAGCTGCCCCCAAATACCACCAGTGTGGTCTTAAAACATGGGGTAGGGGTGGGGTTGTCAGTGGAAAAGTTTAATCAACTCTGTTCTAGAATATATACTTATAAGTAGATAGGAAGGATACAGCTTGCCCTATTATAATAACTAGGCTACAAATACAAGAATCGTGGGGGTAGGATAGGATTAACAAAAGCACTGCACTGCACTGTACTCCCATTGTTCATCGATTTGCTCGAGTGGGCCCAGTAACATTGTGAGATTCGCTGTTACTGTGTTTGGCATATGAAATACATCACGGGTAGTTTGCCAGGCTTTGCCATGCGGGCGAGATACTCTCGGTAGCTTGCCGGGCTCTCCAAGAGGGGCAGAGGAATCGAACTCAGGTCGGCCACGTTGGCCGTGTGCAAGGCAAACGCCCTACCCGCTGTGCTATCGCTCCAGCCCAATTTATATCTAAATAACCTTATCTACCAGTGTTTTGTGGCATGTACCAGATCTATCTTATATCCTCAGCACTGACCAGAGTTTGACATGCAGTGACCACTCTTTCTGAATGAATATGACTTTGGGCTACACTTCCCTTACCACACAGCAGGGATAGAGTAATTGGATGGTTTCCTAGGCGTGCAGTGCCATATGTTGTTAGATGACCTGTGACTAAAACTGGGCAGGGAACAGATTGATGCAACTTAAAAGGTGGCCCAAAGATGATAATAGCCACAAGATGGCTATTCAAGTCTGATTCAGGGAGTCAGGTTGGGGAAACCCCAATTGCAGGCTTGGGAATTGCTCAGATTATCACAGACCCAGGGATGAGGAGTCAGGTAAGAGACTGCAACCAGTGATATAACAAAACCTGCTAGGTGTGGATCCCCTTCCTCTAGTCTTCCCAGTCCCTCAATCCTGCAGACCCTAGCCTCTTTCTCTCAGGGACTGGAAAGACCTGGGGTCTTGCTTCTGCACCATTACAGCTTCTGCACCATTACAAAGAGTTCCTGGGGCTGGTAAGATAGTACAGTGGGTGAGGAATGTTGCCTTGGACGTGTCCAATCCTACATTCAATCCCCAGCACTCATATGTTCCCCCTGGGCCTGCGAGGAGTGATCCCTGAGTGCAGAGTGAGGAGGAAGTCTGAGTACTGCCAACTGTGGCCCCAAAAAACACATTGCTCGGCATGGTCTTTGGGCCTCACCTTGTGACATTCAGGCCTTACTCCTCCCACGCAGTCATCCACATAAATCCCTATCACCCAGTCAAAGCTTAGGGTGGGGAGTGCCCACGTCTACCATATAGTCTCTATAATGTCTCCTCTCAATGGCCCCAGTCTGTCCAGGCTAACCCTGCAGGCCAGCTGGCCGCAGAGCATATGGATGTTGTTATCCCTCTTTATATCCTTGCAGAGTGCCCTGCAGCACATACAAGCACTTTACCCCCTGTACTATCTCTGGCTCCTGAAGAATTGTTTAGTGAGCAAAACCACTTGTGTCTTCTATAAAAGGTTAGGCTTTTTCCTGTCTTTCTTTGTGTTGCCTCTCTTTCACTTACACTTAGCCTATCCAATTACCACTGGAAGCTGAGCTGAGGCTTCCAGAACCCAGCAAGGAGTGATTCTGGCTCCGTTAGGCCAACAGCACATTGAGTACCTGGATACAGTTTATTAAATCCACCACCCCTGGAGCAGTGGAGAGAACAATGGACAAATCTGCTTTCAGTTCTCAACTCAAGGCTGGCATTCAGAAGGCCGTGTATCAATGACTGGTCATCTCTCCTCTGAAGTCCTGGGTGCAATAACCGTGTGTAGTGACCTCTGCCTCCACACCCCTTGTCCCTCACCAACCCACTATTCAAAATTTAAGGAAAAAAATTAAGAGATTAATAAAGAACAAAGAATAGTAAGCCCTCTCTTATGACAGTATCAGACAACTGTTTCAAAATATATTAGATTTGGTTTTTATTGTAGAGCACACATATCAGGGCAAAGTGCTGCACACACAACTACAAATCATTTTTGGGAAAAAAGCTGTAAAAAAAATAAAACTGCAACTGCTTTAGTTGTGCAGTCCCGACTTGAGGAATCCACGCTGGCAAAAGAGTTCTGGCCCCTGAGAAGGGCTTCTTGAGAGTGGCTGCCCCAGAGTTCTGCAGCCTCAGGCCTGGGCCTCTGTAAGACAAGGTCCCCTGGCAAGGTGGCAGCCTAGGGATCGGGAGGGCCACTGTTCTCAGTGGGCCTGCATCGTGACCCTGACTGGCAAGGAGACATTCCTAGAATGAATCCAGATCAGCAAAACCTTGCAGTCTTTGGGAATCTGAGTAAGTGGAAACTGCCAAAGACTACCTTTTTTCCCCCCTTTGATTTTTAAAGCTCCCTCCCCAGCTCTCACGCCGCTGAGGTGGAAGAGGTTCCTACCCAATCTGCAGGCCTGAGCTAGGGCCTTGAATGCATGCTGCAGGCAAACAGAGAGAGTGGGTACCACCCTGGGAACAGGGGGAAAACGGGTGGGTGGGTGGGTGGGTGACACACGGCCGAGAGACTGGCCAATTTAGGAGAAAGGAAAAGGAAAAAGTCAGGAGACCAAAGAAAAAAAATTAAACTAAAAAAAACAAAAAAACCCTACCACACACCACAACATTTTTCCATACCTCGAATGTTAGACTCAGAAGGACACAGTCCCTGTAGCTAGAAACAATTCCTAAAACTGGCCCAACATGGCAAGTCTAACTGTTCCATACAATAACACGCCTGTGCTTGAAAGGAGCAACCCAGCAAAGATGCATGCTCTTGGCAAGAGAAGTCAGGACCCTGCAGCCAGCCTCTCAGCGTCCATGAGAAGAGCAGGGTTGTGAGAGAAGCCCAGGGCTCAGCAACAGCTCTGGGAATGGCATTGTTAATGACCTTGCCTAGTCATCCTGAAGACTACTGCAGGAGGAAGGTGTCCCTGTGAGCTCTGGGGGCCTAGCGAGCATGTGGGGGATGGAAGGACAGCAGGCCTTGTTTCCTGCAAAGCCCAGGAAACCTCAAACCAATGCAGACATCATTGGAGGGGATAAGAGACTGAATTTCCTTTACAACACCAAGAGATTTACATTTAAAGCAAAATAAGAAGTTGTTTAACTAAAACATTTTGTTGCTTTTAAATAAACCCAGCTTGACAGCCTGCTTCAAGATGGCTATCCCCACCCACTACTGGCCACTCCAGCATGAGCTTCTGTCCCCTATAGATGCCAAAAGCCTTTCCATCCAGGAGGAAAACCAATAACATGAGGACCAAGTCCCAATCAATCTGTTCTTCGGCCTCAATAGGCAACAAATCAAGGGGGAAAAAAATATATATGGATAAAAATAAAATTAACAAAACAAAAAAACAAAAAAAAAACTGAAAAAAAAAAAAAGCCCCCAAAACCCAGAAACAAAATCCTCAAAACTAAAGGAGGGGCAGCTAAGTGAGGAAAACCAGAGTTCCTGGGAAGATACAACAGGCCTCAGTGCCTCCGCATCTTCACTTTTCGGGTGGGGCTGCCAGCTGCCTCTGAACAGTCCTCAGCAGACTCATAAGACTTGCGCCAGTAGTTCTCAGAGCTAAAGCTACCCCTCCGTCGGTGTGTGGGCAGCAACACTGAACGCCGATTTTCTTCCTTGTCCATCTCCAGAATTCGAGGCCTGCAAGGAAAGGAATGGGTTGGGAGTGTTACCCAAGAGAGGCTGGATAAGGCTCTGACTTCCCAGCTCTGTGCTGGGTCTGATCCTCATTTGTGCATGGCTAACTTTAGCCTGATGGTTTGAGACATTTTCCTCATTATCTTGTGGGGTCTGTCTCAGTCTGGTGTCCGAGGATACCAAAAGACTGCTGAATAAAATGAACCCTTCTTTATCACAGTTTCAAGGTGCTGCACAGCACTCTATTTCTATTTCTCAATCCTCCCCTTTACTCCCACCTTCTCTCTCTCTCTACCTACTACCTATCTCTATGATCACTATCCCCTCCAGTCAACGAAAGCACCACATTCTACCTGCCCAGTATTTTAGCCCATATAATGCCTTCTGCCTAAAATTCCATCCCACATTACCCTACCATACTGTCTTTATCCTTCTTTCTGATCTCAACTAAAACAATACCTCCTTAGAAATCTTCCCCACGGGCCAGAGGGTGATTGCCTTGCACGCAGCTGCCCCAGGTTCAATCCCCAGTATCCCATATGGTCCCCTGAGCATCAACGGGAATACTTTCTGAGTGGAGAGCTAGAAGTGACCCCGAAACATTGCAGGGAGGGAAGGAGGGGAGGAGGAAAGAAGATTGGTTCCCTAATCCTGTTGAAATGAGTCCTTGGTCCACTGTCTTCTACCTTGGAAGCTGTCCCATTAACACTGAAGTAGAATGTATAAGAGCATTTGTCTAAGTTGGAATCAATAAGATATGTCATGAAAAGGCTATAAATCATTCTCATTTGTCAGAGTCTCAGCCCAGTGCTTTAGGGATATAGGTAGTTGTTCAAGTGGGAATGCCACCTGCGTAGGGAACCAGACATAAAGCTCTGGAAAAGGTGAGCAATGCCATGCTCTTGTCACCTGGCCTTTGTCCATCCTGCTACCACGCACTGATGGCTCTGCTGGCCTTCGTTTAGGGTGCGAAGCTGAGTACCTGTGGGCAGCATCAGGGTCTGCCTTGCGATGGGACCGTTTGGGTTTCAGATTGGAGTCCCGGTTGTTTCCTGATAGACGATCTGAAGCATAGCTAGGTGGTAACACAGAGCTGCTCAGGGACTTTGTTTCCAACCGAGGTGCATCTAATCTTGTCCTGTAAGGAAAGAAAAAGCACAAGGTTGCCAATAGCCTCAGTGATGGTGTGGGCCCCATAAGATGAATTCTTACTTTGGCCAGGCCAAGGGAACTCAGCAGTCTCTGCTCTTTCTCCATGGATCAACTAGAAATTGATCTTAATAACTCTCAAAGATCCACCATAAGTTCAAGTTTAGGGGTAGGCATAATTATTCTCCTTGGAGACTTATGACAATGGATTTGTTGCCCCACTAAAAAGATTTCAGGGCTCTCCCTAAGCAATAGGAAGTAGCCCTGCCTCATCTCAGCCAGACCTAGAGGTTCTTTAGGAGCATCTACTATACCTCCCAGACAATGGAAGGTCCCACTGGTGGGTACCAGTGACACCTTCATCCTTGCCTCAAATACCAAAAAAAACAACAACAACAACAACAACAACAAAAAAAAAACCACTTTCTCTGGTTCAGGCCCGTGGAATGTGGAAAGGAAGGGGAACCTGAATAAATGCAACCCTATTTTCTCACACAGGGACACAGAAGCTGTGGAAAAGTCAGAAGAAACCAATCTCAACTCCATTTCATCCACTTGGCTCTGGCCCACACTAGCTCCTAGACAGTTTTTATTTGTTCCAGGATGTTGATCCAAGCCAAGTCCAGAGGGCTCTTGAAGGTAAAGTCCTACCTCCACTGGGTGTGAGTTTAAGAAACATACCAGCTAGTAAAGGAAAAATATTCATTTACGGATAAAGAACAGGAAAATGGAAAAGTTGAGTCCAGAAAATATATTGGACAGTGGCCTGAGCCCTGTATAAAGCCAGGTCAAACAAAGCAAGCATGGGAAACTACAAGGAACCCCCAGGTTTCTAGTATGGTTAAGAAAATCCTGGCAAGTCAGACTGATAGAAACAAGGGACAGAGAGGGTGTTGGGTGGGCAGTTATCCAAAAGGATGGCCAGAGAGATAGTACAGTGGGTAAGGTGCTACTTTGCATTTACCCAACCTTATTCCAATCCTGGGGCTGCATATGGTCCCTAAGTCCTACCAAAAGTGATTCCTTAGACTGATGGGTACAAAACTGTAACTTGGAAGGTTCCAAGGAAGATGCTGTGGTTAGGGCAGAACACAAAGACATACTTACAACAACACAGAAGGAAAAAGAGAAAGCTGGTGCTTTCCCAATCCAAAATTGCTGCCATATCCCCAGCCTGACTCCACTATCTTAGGACGGACCCTACCAAGACACAATTTGCTGAAAATTCAGGTATGTGGGTTTTGTGACTGAAATCTCCAGGCTTTCTTTGGGTCAAGATGGGCTACCTCCCCGCACCTCCCTATACTTCCAGAAGCTCCAGCAGTGACATCCATACCCAAATGCTGCCACCCAATTGAAAAGCTACTCCAGCCTTAACATCCTGGTAAAAACATCGAATGCCCTGAACAAATACCATGACCTCTTAGCACTTGTACTAAAAACCATAAAGCACAAAAGGAAAAGGAGAGAGAGAGCAAGAAGGAAAGTACCTCTCATAGAGGATGGTTGGGGTGTTGGGGGATGTGGTAGGTAAACGGGACACTGGTGGTGGGAAATGTACACTGGTGGAGGGATCATTGTATGACTGAAACCCAATTATGAACAGCTTTGTAATGGTCTATCTCACGGATATTCAATTTTAAAAATTAAAAAAAGAGAGAGAGAGAAAGCTGGGGATCCAAGAGCTGCTTTAGCCTAGGCTGCTTGCCATTCTTGATGACAACTTTATCTAGCCCTTGAAGCTTTCCCATTCTTTGCTGCCTGAGCTACTATAAATACATGGGGATGGGGGCGACGGTTGGGTTGTGGACTAGGTCAGAAAAGGGGATAAACCGTATGTCCTGGAAGTTGTGGGGAAAAGGCTTACACTTAGGCAAAACTAAACTTGGGACAGGCAGGAGCCATAGGACTCTGAACATGGGCAGGGGTATTTCTCTTGAGTCCAGCAGGATGTGCACTCTAGCTAGGCATCCATGTTTTACGGCCCTAGGGGCCCAACTGGTGTGCAAGTACAGACAGGCAAGCAGAACTACTATTAATGTCACTCTGATTTGGCCTTAGAGACTGGGAGACAAGAGAGATTGAGCTACACTGATTGGTACATAAATCTCAGGCTTCACTCTTCAAAGTTCACGGAGAGACAGAACAATGGGTAGGGCTCTTATCTTGTACATGGCATCCCATATGGTCTCCACAGCACTGCCAGGAGTAACCCTTGAGCACCCTTTTGGGGTCATGTATGGCCCCAAAACCAACAAGCAAAAAATTCCGGGGAGTAGGACCTAGTGACAAGAGGAAGAGACGGAACGATAATACAGTGGGTAGGGTGCTTGCCTTGCACACGTCCAACCCAGGTTTGATCACTGGCATCCCGTATGGTCCCCTACTTGGCCATGAATGATCCCTGAGCATAGAGCCAGGAGTAAGCTCTGAGCACCAGTGGGTGTAGCCCCTCCCCCACCCCCATAAAAGAAAAGAGGGAGATAGGGGTCCAGGAGATAGTATGGGAGATGAGGGCCTTGCCTTGCATTAAGTAGACTCTGCATATGGCTACTCTTGAGTCAGTCAATAATAACCTCAAACATTCCCACTCTCCAGCCTCCCCCAAAATAGGAAAGAGACTCCCAAGGCCCCCATTCAAGAATCCAGGCATCCTTAGTTTTCCTATCTAAGCCTAGGCTCTTTAAACTCAGTTGGAGGGTTGCAATAACAGTTTGGGGATCATGAACAACTGACAACAGTGAAAGATTTCTGAACATGTAAAGGTAAAGGCCCTCCCGTTGATCATTGATTTGCTCGAGCGGGCCCAGTAACGTCTCCATTGGAGACTTTGTTGTTACTGTGTCTGGCATGTAGAAATCAAAAATTCAAAATTAGTTGAATTCAAGGTGTTTCAGGCAGCATTCACCTGTGTTCCTTTTCCCAGGCAAAAAGGTGTTGCAAATAGAAGGACTTAGGGGTCAGACCGTATTTATATGTGGCTGATCAAATCCTCGGCATCATCTATGGAGAACCCCCTGAACAGAGGGCCAGGAGGAAGCCTTGAGCACAGCCAGGTATGGCCAAAAAAAAGAAAGAAAAAAGAAAAAAGTTTAAGAAGCCCCTATCTAAGCAAAGAAGGGATAAACAGGGCTGGAGAGATAACACAGCAGGTAGGGCGTTTGCCTTGCACGTGGCCAACCCGGGTTCAATTCCCAGCATCCCATATGGTCCCCTGAGCACCGCCAGGAGTAACCCCTGTGCATCGCCAGGTGTGATGCAAAAAGCAAAAAAAGAAAAAAAAAGAAGGGATAAATAGAACGACTCTGGGTTTCTTTCAGTTCTGTGTGCTAAGACTGAAAAGGCTAAGTTTTTGTTGTTGTTGTTGTTTGTTTTTTTAAAGGTTACAATTCACTGGTCTTTGAGGGCTACTGTCTTCCAGGGGGTCACTTGCACCAGTGTGATATCCTGAAGCTTGGGACACTCTGCATGCACAGCATGTGATCAATCCATAGAGCTATCTCTCCAGCCCAAGGCAAGCCCAAAGCAGCGACAGAGAATAGTGATAGGAAACACACATACATAAGATTGGAAGTTAATTACTGAACCTCGAGGACCTTTTTTCCCCCTTGGTCTCATATATGTGCTATACTGAGAAGACAAGGTAGCAAAGATCAGATCAAATAAGACGATCACTGAACTGAACTTATGAGGGTCTATAGCATTATGGAGAAAAGTTCTTACTCCAGAATCATACAGTTAAATTTAACACAAAGGTGCCAAAGTACACATGTTCAAGGAAGAAAGTACGTAAAGGCTGAAAAGGGCCCAATGAAAACCTAACCCTAGTGACGGGTGGCAGGAACAGCAGGGCTACTAAGAGGAAAGTCTATGCTTCAGTCTGGCCCACAGACCCTGGGGCTGGAAAACATTAGCATACCCTGCCATGCAGGCACTGCTGGCACATACCAAGCTGTAGAGTGGTCTCCACCCCTACTGTGCTGACTGTTCAGATAGCTTGTCTAGGCAGTCAGGGACAGTGGGGGTGACTCCTCACCACGGCTTAGAACTACTAAACGGGTGGGGAGACAAGTGGGACCAGGTGAGACTGAACGGACAGGCCTAGAGCATGGACTGTCCTTTTTTCTACAGATGCTTTAAGTAAGGGATGTGTACTGCTTTCCTCCACGAATCAGCTCTGCTGCCATCTGGGGGAATTCCTCAGATCAAATGTGGCCTACCAGAAACCCTTTATCTACTTTGGGGACAGGATGAGCTCTGGGAAGAGGGGCTGGAAAGGCAACTCAAAGGACTGGAGTGCATGCTTTGCAAGCAGGAGACTCTGGTTCAATATGAGGCACTGTATGGACCCCTGAGCTCTGCTCAAGGACAAGTGCTGCACCAAGTCAGGAGTAGCTAATGAACAATGCTGGGTCTGGCATAAAACAAAGCAAAAACAGCTCTGGGACCTGACACATCCCTTGGTTGTTAAAAGTACTCTTAGAATAGCTGGGGATATACCTGACCTACCTCCAATTCCAAAAAAGTCACCAGCTACAAGAAGCCAGGCTAGAAGCTTATCAAAGCTTAATTTCAGAACATGTCCCTCTTATTTTTATTGTAATTATTTATTCTGGAAGGGGAGCAGTTTGGGCCACAGCTGGCAATGCTCAGGAGTTACTCATGGCCTTGCACTCAGGAATTATTACTCCTGACAGTGCATGGGATCATATGGGATGCCAGGGTCAGTCATGTGCAAGCAAGCACCCCACCTGCCATATTACCCTTTGGGCCCCAGCATGTCCCTTTTAAAGGACAATCAATTCCCAGGGAGAAAGGTCTGTAGACAGAGCCATCAATCTGGAGTAAAGAGGAGGTCTAGTTATATCAAGGCCTTGGTCTCCTCAGTTAATATCCAGGGATCACAGTACAGTGACCAGGTATATAAATGAGGTAAGGGTTAACCAGGCAGACTCTTCTTATTACCAAGAAAGTCACTCAGGTTATCAA